CAATGGGGGCAGGGCGGGCCGTGCGCTGAGCCAATGGGGGCAGGGCGAACCCCGCGCTCTTGTTGGGGCCAGTTGGGCACGTGAAGCGGTAGCTGTTGGGATTTGAATGTTGGCGCGGGAACGGGCGCATCAGGTTTCCCTCCGCGAAACCCCCACCCAAACCCAAACCTTTCAAGTAGTCTTCTGTCCCCAGATCTCAGTCTGAATTTTTATAGTGGCTTTAATATCAGAAAACAATCCAAGGCCGTTTACAGGAGAGATCAGGGCAGGTGTCCAAAAGATTGTTGAAAGATGGTTGTGGGTAGTGAAGGAGATTTGAAAACAATTACATTTTTAATATTGAGGCGTTATTATACCAATACCCAGTATAGGATAGTGAGCACAGGCTTGTGCAGCATTCATTCCCAAATAAAATCTGGCAGCAGTCTTGTAAGTATTTATTTACGAGAATGGAGGAATGTGCTGATAATCAAGTCCCACCACACCACTTGTCACACCAGCAGCGTAAAAGCTTTGATTTAATCACCAAAATAGCCAATTCTTACCTTTCTGCATTTCGATGTATACTAAAAGATTCCTCGATTTTACTGGATTTCTTTAATCAACTCGTTTATTATAACATAAAATACACTTTTAAAAACAAATGGCAAGACTGGTAAACATTTAAGAAATAATCAGAAATTATCGACCACGTGGTCAGTGTGAAGGAGGCTGCTGCAGTTAACTGGGAATTTGGGGCAAGGTGGGAATTCAACTGGTAAATATTTTGTAAGTTTAATTATAGTCTGAAGATAATCAGGCCTAACCATTAGGGAAGTTAAAATAGCCTAGGTAAACAGGCAGCTGCCTGCTAGTGGAAGTTATCTATAAAACAACTGAGTGTTAGGTGTTCACTACCGGCAAGAAGTAAGGAAAAACAAGTGACTCATCAGAGCTCTCTACATAAGAAGGGCTTGTTGAAAGCACAACCTCAAACTTAGCTGCATCATCAGTGTGGGCAAGACTTGGCTGAAGTGAGGCAGAGACAGGATAAATAATGGAGAATTTGGGGAACACTGGCTGGGCTGGGGTGCACTGGCTAAGCTGGGTAGCACTGGCTGGACTGGGGACTGAAAGACAACACTGGCTAGGCTGGGACACATGGCTGGGCTGGGGGCAGTCAGACAGCATTGGCTGGGCTGGGGCACACTGGCTGGGCTGAGGCAGTTGGACAGCACTGGCAAGGCTGGAGCACACTGGTTGGGCTGGGGCAATCAGACAGCACTGGCTAGACTAGGATACACTTCCTGGGCTGTGGCAGTCGGACAATACTGGCTAGGCTGGGGTGCACTGGCTGTGCTGGGGCAGTCGGACAGCACTGGCTACGCTGCGGCATACTGGCTAGGCTGGGGAACAGTGGCTGGGCAGGGTCAGTCGCACAGCATTGGGTAGACTGGTGTGCACTGGCTGGACTGGGTCTTGACTTACAGCACTGGCTAGGCTGGGGCACACTGGCTGGGTTCGGTCAGAAGGACAGCACTGGCTAGGCTGGGGTCAGATGGACAGCACTGGCTGGACTGGCTCTTGACTTACAGCACTGGCTAGGCTGGGGCACATTGGCTAGGTTCAGTCATAAGGACAGCATTGGCTAGGTTCGGTCATAAGGACAGCACTGGCTGGGCTGGGGCACACTGGCTGGGTTCGGTCAAAAGGTCAGCAATGGCTAGGCTGGGGTCAGACGGACAGCACTGGCTAGGCTGGGGTCAGATGGACAGCACAGGTTAGGCAGGGGCACACTGGCTGGGTTCGGTCAAAAGGACAGCACTGGCTAGGCTGGGGCACACTGGCTGGGTTCGGTCAAAAGCACAGCACTGGCTAGGCTGGGGTCAGACAGACAGCACTGGTTGGGCTGGGTCTTGACTTACAGCACTGGCTAGGTTCGGTCATAAGGACAGCACTGGCTAGGCTGGGGCACACTGGCTGGGTTTGGTCAAAAGGACAGCACTGGCTCGGCTGGAGTCAGACGTACAGCACTGGCTAGGCTGGGGTCAGAAGGACAGCACTGGCTCAGCTGGGGTCAGACTTACAGCACTGGCTAGGCTGGAGTCAGACGTACAGCACTGGTTCGGTCAGAAGGACAGCACTGGCTCAGCGGGGGTCAGACTTACAGCACTGGCTCGGCTGGGGCACACTGGCTAGGCTGGGGTCAGAAGGACAGCACTGGCTAGGCTGGGGCACACGCTGGGTTCGGTCAGAAGGACAGCACTGGCTAGGCTGGGGCACACTGGCTGGATTCGGTCAGATGGACAGCACTGGGTGCAGTGGGAGCGGCGATGTGAGTCTCGCGAGATGCCGTTGCAGTTGGCGGCGGCGGCGGCACGGGCCTGGTTTCTGTGTCCGGGACTGAGCAGCGGGGAGAGCACAGCGGGACACTGGAGGAGGAGGGTGTGTGAGGAAGGAGGTGGTAGCTGGGCCGCACTGCGCCGTCACCATGGAAACCAAGCTGCAGAAACGCAGTGAAAACAAGAAGCCGCTGAGGGTGAAGGTGATCAGTTTGGGGAGCGCCGAGGTGGGCAAGGTGAGGGAGCCCGGGGGTAACGGTGGGGAATGGGGGTGGGGAGGGCATTGTTCGCGGTAGTACCTCAGCAAGTCTCCTTAGACACCTTTCAAACCCAACCACTCTCCCATAGAGACAGAAAAAAAAACACCAGGGCAGCAGGACACCACCCTCCAGTTCCCCTACCATCCTGACTTGGAAATATATTAAAATAAAACAAAAAAATGTGGAGCTGGAGATCTGAAACAAACAGAGAGAACACAGCACTGATGTTTTGAGTGCAGTTTCCCTTTTCAAACCCTTCTCGGAAATATATTGTCGTTCCTTCAGTGTTGCTGGATCAAAATTCTGGATTTCCTTCTAGAACTGTGGACAGCAGCAGATCAAATAGGCTGCTCACCACCACTTTTGAAGGACAATTGCTACCAAGTGATCTGAGAAGACTATTTTTGACAGAGCAGTAATGACTTGGAAGTTGTTATTTGCAGGAATCGTGAAAGTGAAGACAATGAATTGTTTCAAATGGAAATTGAATTGATACTTGAAGGAAATACACTTGCAAGGCTCTGAGGAGAAAGTAGAGGGATGCACATGACTAAATTTGCTTTTCAGAGAAAATATGGTCACGATTGGCCACATGACCTCCTTCTACGTTTGATAACTGAGTGACTCTAACACTTCAATTCATTGCAATTTTAATAAATGGAAGTATCACGTCACTCTGCCATCTGTTTAACTCCTTTGTTGTCGGGAGTCACACGACACCAGGTTTCAGTCCAACAGGTTTATTTGAAATGATAAGCTTTCGGAGGGTAGCCTCTTTGTCAGGTGAAGTCATTTTTTGTCGGCGTTCAAATGGCAAAAGCAAGATAAACAAGAAATATTTGGTTTCAAATAGCTAGTGTAAATGTTACTTTAAAACTCTGTTTTTGGATAAAAATCTGCGATACCTGTCCCCGTGAACACGAGACTTGCATTTAGAAATTTTGATAGAATTGGATGCTGTCTTTTCAACAATGGGGTCAGAGAATTGTAATTGTCAAGCCTCTTCTAGTTCATTTGATTTATTACTTGCCCTGCAAAAGAAATGATCTTGTTAAATTTTAGCAACCTAGCCTGGCTAGTTTTTCAGTTTGTTTTTAATTCATTCATGGGATGTCGGCATCGCAACCTGGCCAGCATTTATTGCCTGTCCCTAGTTGCCCTTGAGAAAGTGGTGGTGAGCTGCCTTCTTGTACTGCTGCAGTCCACATGCTGTAGATGGACACCCAAAGCCCTTACGGAGGAAATTCCAGGATTTTGACCCAGAGCCTGTGAAGGAACAGCGATATATTTCCAAGTCAGGATGGTGAGTGGCTTGCAGGGGATTGTGTTCCCATGTATCTGGTGCCCTTGTCCTTGTCAATGGAAGTGGTTGTGTTTGGAAGGTGCTGTCTAAGCATCTTGAGTGAATTTCTGCAGTGCATCTACAGATAGTATTGACTGCTCCTACTGAGTGTTGGTGGTGGAGGGAGTTAATGCTTGTGGATGTGGTGCCAATCAAGCAGGCTACTCTGTCCTGGATGGTGTTAAGCTTCATGAAGGTTGTTGGAGCTGCCCCCATCCAGGCAAGTGGGGAGTATTCCATCACACTTCTGACTTTTTTGCCTTTGGCATTGGGGATGCATGAGTGAAAGTTGGAGTGAGTGGTTGTGTAGAAATGCAGAGACATTATAACTCTGCATTACAACAGTCAGTAAGACAACCTGTCAATAGGAGACATTTTTTCTGATATCATGTATGTACTGCAGTCAGTGGGTAATTCAGTTGATTTTATTTAGTGAATGTAAATGCAAAGTGATGGCCTCCTCATTTGCTGAGTTCAAGGTGATTAGGCAGTAGAGGGGACACTCCTTGGTAATGAGTTCAGAGATAGTGGGAACTGCCAATGCTGGAGAATCTGAGATAACAAGGTTATAACAAGGACATTGTCTGAAGAAGGGGCTAGACCCGAAACATCAGCTTTCCTGCTCCTCTGATGTTGCTTGACCTGCTGTGTTCATCCAGCTCTACACCTTGTTAACTCCTTGGTAATGTTAGGTATTGTGTACCAGCTGGAGCTTGCAACTATCTGCTACGTACAAACTCAGTATCATACTGGATGAGATTGCTTAATTGAGCACAGGTTGGGGATGAATTGGAGTATTTTCAGTTTGACATGAGGTGTGACTGATTTAAGTATTGATTTACTAGTGTAGCTGGAATTGCTGACTAATTGTGTTTCCTTTCCAGAGCTGTATAATTAAACGATACTGTGAGAAGAGGTTTGTCCCAAAATATTTGGCAACTATTGGAATTGACTATGGAGTGACAAAGTGAGTACTACCAGGAATGCTACTTTTCTCACTATCTTTCTTTAGTTGGTTTTCCTGATAGTGATTATTGTTAAATGTTGAAAACATGACTGGTAATAAGAAGGCTATCTACTTAAATTAGCTACGTTCTTGTTTCAAGAAAGTTTAAGAATGCATTCTTTAGTATTTGAACTAAGTTTAGATGATGAGACAGGAAGGGAGAGATTGGAGTGGGAGAGGGTTGTCAATGGGGAGCAGGGATTTGACCAGTAAGGTGAGGGTGGAGTGCTGAAAACCAATTCAAAGAACGAAGAGCAGTTCACACAGGAACAGGCCCTTCAGTTCATCAAGGCTGCGCCCATACATGACATTTTCTAAACTAAAACCTTTTCCCCCATGTGGTCTCTGTGCACGTATTCCCTGTCTATTCGTGTATCTGTCAAGATGCCTCTGAAACGTTGCTGTTGTATCCACTTCCACCATCTCCTTTGACCGCACATTCCAGGCACTTACCACCCTCTGTGTTTAAAAAAAGCTTGCCTCTCACATCTTGTTTAAACTTAACCCTCTTGAACAGAGGTCCCCTGGTAGTTGACATTTCTACCCTGGGAAAAAAGACTCCAACTATCCATGCCTCTCATCATTTTGTAAACTTCTGTCAGGTTGCTTCTCATCCTTTGACGTTCAAGTGAAAACAAACCAGGTTTATCCAATCTCCCCTTACAGCTAATACCCTCCAAACCAGGCAACATTATGTTCAACCATTTCTGTCCCTCTCCAAAGCCTCCACATTCTTTTGATAAAGTGGTGACCAGAAGTGCACAGAGTATTCCAAATGTGGCCTAACTAAAGTTCTATACAGCTGCAATATGACTTGACAATTTTTCTGCTCTATGCCCCAACCGATGAAGGAAAGCATGCCATATGCCTTCTTGACTATCTTATCTACTTGTGTTCCAACTTTCAAGAAACTGTATGTTGATGCTACTAAGAGTCCTGGCATTTACTGTATACTTCTCTCCTGCATTAGATCTTCCAAAACGTATAACACCCCATTTGTCCAGATTAAATTCCATCTGCCATTTCTCCACCCCAGTGTCCAACCTAGCTACTCGGTATCCTCAACGCCCCAGTCTTTGTGTTGTCTGCAAACTTACTAATCAGGCCACCTGCATTCCCCTCCAAATCACTTGCATATATATTGCAAACAACATAAGAACAAGGCATTCAGCACCCTAAACCTTTAGAATCGTAGAATCCCTTTGGCTCTATAAGTCCACACCGACACTCAGAGCATCCCGCCCAGATCCATCCTCTATAACCCACCTAATCTACACATCCCTGAACACTACAGGGAATTTAGCATGGCCAATCCACCTAGCCTGCACATCTTTGGACTGTGGGAGGAAACTGGAGCACCCGGAGGAAACCCACGCAGACACGGGGAGAATGTGCAAACTCCACACAGACAGTCGCCCGAGGGTGGAATTGCACCTGGGTCCCTGGTGCTGTAAGGCAGCAGTGCTAACCACTGAGCCATTGTGTCAACCCAAATGTGAATTTGCTGTGACTGGTTTTCTGGAGTTTGAGCGATGACTCATCCAGCAGGAAGTCATTTGAATTCGGCAAGTTGAGGAAGTGCAGTCGACAAGATTCGAACCTATGTGGTGAAACCCCAATGGATTTCTAATTCATTGCCTTAACCACTCACTCACGACTTCAACGTGTTTCAACATTCCGATTATAAAGACCGAATGATTTTATTTTACTTTATTTCTGATTGGAGTTAGAAGGGAGATGATGACCTAGTAGTATTATTGCTGAACTGTTAATCCGGAGACCCAGGTAGTGTTATGGGGAGCAGGTTCAAATCTAGCCACCAGATGGTGGAATTTGAATTCAATAAAAATTTTGAATTAAGAGTCTAATGACAACCATGAATCCATTGTCAAGTGTCTGAATAACCCTTCTGGTTCACTCATGTCCTTTAGGAAAGGAATCTGCCATCTTTACCTGTTCTGGCTTACATGTGACCCCAGACCACAGCGATGTGGTTGACTCTTAATTGCCCTCTGGACAGTTAAGGTTAGGCAATAAATGCTGGCCTAGCCAGTGATGCTGTCATCCTGTGAATGAATTTTAAAAAAAAACTGAGAAAATGACTGTTTTGCAGGAAAGAATTGTGGAAGGAATAGGTGAACCTTTATAAAAGCAAGTAACTGAAACTCATTGTATGTGCTGTTTACACTGCTGCTGCTTTGTTCAAGCAGTGGGAGAAGCTATTTGAAGACAGCTTGACTTCGGGGGTCCATGTACAAACTGAGATTCGGTCAGCAGCAGGTTGCTGACTGGTTTCTGGGGTTGTGACCAGTAGTGGGTGCCAATGGCCATTGGCCTGACAGCAACTATCTGATCAACACCCTGTTCAACTATGCAGGAGTCAATGATACTGGCAAAAGCCTGGAGCTCCTGAATGGGCAGATGATGTGTCTCTTTCTCTGTCCAGTGAAATACCAAAAACCGGACAAAACTTAGTTTATTTTTTCCTACTATTTGCTGAAATCTGTTGTTTTTAACCAAGAAGTCAGAGACTTTGTGATCGTAAATTAGTCACACTGTGTCTCCTGTGAAAGAGTGAGAGAACCCAAAGGAAAAATCAGAGAACTGAAGGACTTGGGAAACAAAACAAATGCTTCATCAAATCCTTAGGACTGGTGCTATTGAACTGTTTCTCCAGTACTTTTTCTCTCCACCTATCGCACCACTTTTGTAAGTCTGAAATTGATAGCAAGAAGCTGCATGCAAAACAAAATTTTCCACTGTACCTAGGTAAGTGTGACAATAATAAATCAAATCAAATGAATATAGAAGTCATAGAATCTGAGTGGGCAGAGTTGAGGAACTGCAAAGGAAAATGACTCTGATGGGAGTTATGTACAGGCCTCTTAGCAGTAATCAGGATATGGGACAGAAAATAAATCAGGAGATAGAAAAGACATGTAAGAAAGACACTATTGCAATAATCATGGGGGACTTTAATATGCAGGTGGACTGAGAAAATCAGGTTGGTAATAGATCTCAGGAAAAGGAATTGTGGAATGTCTACGAGATGGTTTTTTGGAGCAGCTTTTGGTAGAGCCCACTGGGGGACAGGCACTTCTGGATTTGATGATGTGTAATGAGGCAGACTTGATTAGAGAGTTTAAGGTGAAGGATCCCCGAGGGGGCAATAACCATAATATGATAGAATTCACCCTGCGGTTTGAGAGGGAGAAGTTGAAATCAAATGTAACCATATTACAACTGAGTAAAGATAATTAGAAAGACATGAGGGAGGAGCTGACCAGAGTTGATTGGAAGGGAAGCCTAGTGAGGAACTTCGTGGATCAGCAAAGGCAGGAATTTCTGGGGGTAATTCGGGAGGTACAGCAGAAACTTGTTCCAAGGAAGCAGAAACATTTTCAGGGGAGGATGACGCAACCATAGCTGACAAGGGAAATTAGGGACAGCATAAAAACAAAAGGAAAAGCATATGTTGTGGTGAAAATTAGTAGGAAGGTAGAGGATTGAGAAGCCTTTAAAACAAGCAGAGGATAACTCAGGATAAAGTGGTAAGAGAGGTGTAGTGATCGTAATGAGGTCAGCCAGCTGGACCTCATAGAATATGAGTTCCCTGATTGGGGCTGTTAAACTCGTCCTTTCAGGGAGACCTGGCAGACATAAAAAGCTAGAATCATAGAGTGATAGAGTAATACAGCCCAAACTGGTCATTGCTGACCATGGTACCCACTTGGCTAGTTCCAACTGCCCGTATTTGGTCCACATCCCTCTAAACCCTTCCCATCCATGTACCTATCAAAATGTTTTCAAATGTTGCTATTGTACCTGTCTCAACTACTTTCTCTGGCAGCCCATTCCATATACGCACCACTGTCTGCATGAAGAAGTTGCCCCTCAGGTCCTTCTTAAATCTTTCCCCTCTCACCTTAAACCTGTGCCCTCTAGTTTTCAATTCCCCATCCCTGGGAAAAAAAGACTATATGCATTCATCTTATCTATGCCCCTCATGATTTTATACATCTCAATAAGGTCACCACTCATTCTCTTATGGTACAAGGATTAAAGTCCTATCCTGGCCAACCTCTCCCTATAACTCAGGCCTACTAGTTCTGGCAACATGCTCATAAATCTTCTTTGCACACTTTCCAGTTTAACTATGTCTTTCCTATAACAGGGTGACCAAAACTGTACACAATATTCCAAGTGTGGCGTCACCAACAACTTATACAACTGTAACATAACATCTCCAATCCTATACTCAATGCCTCAACTGTTGAAGGCCAGCATATTAAATGCCTTCTTCATCACCCTGTCTACCTGTGATGCCGCTTTCAACAAGCTGTGTACATGTACTCCGAGGTCCTCCTGTTCCACAACATTCCTTGGGACCTGAGATAGTAGGAACTGCAGATGCTGGAGAATCTGAGATAACAAGGTGTAGAGCTGGATGAACACAGCAGGCCAAGCAGCATCAGAGGAGCAGGAAGGCTGATGTTTCGGGCCTAGACCCTTCTTCAGAAATGGCT